AAAAAAAAAAAAAAAAAAAAAAAAAAAAACTTAAATCGACTTCAAAAAATTTACCAACGAAGAAAGAAAATTACTAGTTCACACCCGAAGAGCTGAAACACAAATTGAACAATAGAGAAGAAGAATTAAACGAAATATCAGAGAAAGTCCGAAACTTTTACTAATCGATCATTCAAACTTTTCAATAATATCATAAATGACCTTCTCCATGTCCAACGCCTTCATGGCTGTGAAGTGCTTCTTCGTATTCAGAAGCTTGCAAAACTCTCCCCAGCTTCCTCTCGAATTTTAAAGCAGCCTCTTCTCGGCTTCTCGAAGTTGACCACCATGTTGACTCTTTCCAGCCCCTTCTCCACCACCTTCGACCCATCAATTCCACCTCCATCCCAACTCGAAACCATCATCAAATGTCGAAGAAAAACGAAGGAACAGTGTTTAGAGAAGAGAGAGAGAACGAGAGAAAGAGCAAAAAAAAGCTGATTCAACAATACAACTAAATAAATCGAAAGAAACATTTAAAAACATTCATATCTAAGAAAATTCAAAATCAAAAGAGAATCAAAGAAGAGAAATTATCTCAAATTTTATTCTGTCCAAATCTAAAAGAATCAACGATTTTAGGAACAAAAAAAAATGAAAAAATCAAAGTATGAACTTACGTGAGACCGAAAGTGAGATTGAAGAGTGGAAAAACTTGGAGTAGAGTAAAGTTTCAAGCCAAGATAAGAGGCACGATAATTGGTGCTCTCAAGCCACAGAGATGTGGTAGGGTGGAGGCAGGCGACAGAGATGGGGCAGGGGTGGAAGAGAGGGATGCCAAATTTCTATGGTAACTGAAATTGGGGTTAGAGAGAGTGTGTGTGTGTTGTAGAAGTGATCAATTTTCTCTTTTTGCTATTTTATTTATTAGGGAGATATTTATGAACAATACTAACTAGGGGTGGGCAAAACCCAAACCAACCCACCTAAACCACCCGACCCGACCCAAACCGATCGGTTTGGGTCGATTTTTTGTAAATTTTCAATCAGGTTCGGGTTTTTGGGTTAAGAGTCGAGTCGGGTCATGGGTTGACTCGTGAAAATCGAGTTAACCCAACCCAAACCGACCCGCTCAATTAAAAAAAAAACTAAAAATAAACGTGAGAACTGACTACTGACTACTGAGAACCCCAGCCCAAACCTTAACTTTATTCTTCCAACCTTCGAAGTTCCAATTCTCTCCCTCTCTCACGCCGTCTCTCACAAATTCACAATGAATCATCTTCCTTCCACTCTCTTTTCGAACCCTTCTGGCAATGGAGCTCTCCTAGCCTTTGTTCCTCTCTGGCTCACTTTTTTTTACACTGTTAGAGCATTCAGTTTGTGGGGTGGGGGCTTTTTTTTATCAATGGAGTCAATGGGGTGTCATTGATTATTGTGGTGGCTTATGTTATTCATCTTGCATCAAGGATTTCTGGTTTCACTGCTTATTGGGCAATATTCTATACACAAGTCAGATTTTTGTCCTCAATTTTACCTACGTTTTATTAATTAATTCTGGCTTCAATTTTTTAATCAAATATTTGATAAATGCACAATTTCCATCTTGAAAAATTCACTAAAAGTTAGGTGAAGTTCTTAAGTTTCTTTTCTGAATAAGAAAATATTGATGGGTAGATTTGTCGCCCATCTTGATGATCAAGCTCTGATCTAACTTTTATTTGTTGGAACTGATTGGTCGACACCATCTTGAACTACCTGTACGATTTTAGTAATTTTAAATTTTTATCTTCAATAAGTGATTTACGTTAGCTGAACTAATATTAGTTCGGTTTTCATAAGAAAATAGTGATTTACGTTTGTTGGTCCAAGGTTGAAAACCGAACTAATATTTTGCTGATGCTTGCTGGCACTAGATTGCTATGGATGGGATGGTCAGGCTTCAATGGTGGAGCTCCTTAGTTTGAAATGAGAAATAAAATGGGAATTGGATTTTTATGGTGGGGATTGCAATGCTTACACTGCAGGTATATTATCTTGGCCTTTTCGACTCTAAAGTAGAGGCTGCAAGGTCCTAATGTCAGGGAAAGTATGCCATCATTTTTCCCATGTTCCCATTTTCCGTTATCCAACTCGTTTTTTTGTTTTGATTTTCTGTAAACATAGGTCTTACGACAAGGTGGTCATCCAATTCCAGTATAATGAAAGGGATGTTGTTACTAACTTTGAGTCGAGTAAATTAGATGGGGAAAATATACCAGAGCCACGGATTGAAGGTACAGTTCGATATAATTTCTCTGTTGCACTGGGTTTGCATTTTATATTTGAAAGAGTTTGTTCGTTATACAATACAAACTGCACAGGTAGCCAACATGATCTTGAGATGTCCCAAACCGACCAACCCAACCCAACTCGACTGACATTTAGTTGGGTTGGGTTTCAATTTTTACATGGGTTGGGTTGGGTTGAATTTCAATCAAACCGACCATGTTGGGTTGGGTTTACATGGTTGGTTTGGGTTGGGGCAAAAACCAACCCTACCCAACCTACGCTCACCCCTAATACTAACAGATAAGTGAATAGTAAATGCCCAGTTAAAGTGTGAAATGGAAGGTGACAAAAATGAATATATGAGAGAGAGAATAATAGAATACTTTACATCTGGATGGATGGAAACGAGCTCGTGAACAGTGAGATACAAAAAAAAGATTTTGAAGTGTGCAGTGGGGCTCGGGGGGGTTCGGAGCAATCGGATTTTTTTTTTCCCGACATTCAAAGTCAACAATTGTGGGTAAAGATATTTTACATAATACAACGGGCAGTGGGCGGAGCAAGTACTCCGTACTGTGTGGAGTAGTATTTATTGATTTAAAAAAAAGATCTAGTACAGTATGAGAATATTAAAGTCAACAATTGTAGGCATATAAATTGATTAAAAAATGATTTATTGTAGTAGGGAAATATTAAAGTCAACAATTGTAGGAATCCAAATTACCCTTAACCCACGTGTGAATAGTGGAAGACAGATAGAGGGCAGTTGCTGTAAATCGTAGAGGATGGATATGAGACAATTTGAGCGAACGAAAATGTTTAGATACATATCATTGTCATGCACCACATGAACACCAGAAAATGTGCAGATGACTACAAAAATATTAAATGTCAATTGAATAACACGGATATATACATTGAAAATTTGATAAAAATCTCATAGTTTGGTGATGAACATATGATTACAAATAGCACACATCCCAAAATCATACAGACTATGATTCGGATTTGATAAAAGTATCTTACTAAAAAATGTAATATTCTCCCTGACACGCTACAACGCATATTACTGTTCGATATATTGGAATGACGACATAAAAATTAAAGATTGTTTTATAGTCATTTGTTCTTTAACACTCTCGTAAGTGGAACTATGCACCCAGCATAATATACGACTCTTTAGTGTGGTGTATGGAACAATATTTATATGATTGATCTCCTTTCTCCCCGATTACAGCTAACCCGTGTGGACACAGAACTGCATCAAAATGAAACCTGTTGCACGTGCATTTCATTTCCAGAAAATGTATGGAAGCCATAATTAAATGAATAGCTTGATATATGGGAAAATAAATTTCAGTTATAAAAGATAAGTGAGAAAGTTCTATGGTAGTAAAAATGGTATTTTTTTTTTCATTTTTACAGTATATTATAAATATAAATAATACAATAGTATATTATGGAATATTTTATCTTTGTTGGATATATATGATTTTTTCCGTTGAAATTAACATTTAACTTTTATTAAAAATATGAAGAATCTTTTAATAACTTTTAAGGTTCGACGAACCGAACATTGGGCTATTGCCAAAATGCCCATTGCACATATAAATGGATTTAGAAAAATGCTGCTTTACGGCTTTACCAGAACTACATGCATGTGGGTCCCACCTGAATAAAATATTAATAAAAAATGTGGGCCCACATGTTTGTCTCCATGGACTTAATGGTCAAAAATAGTCCAAAATAAATAATTATACATAGTAGTACCTGCTATAAATCAGAAATGCCGTATTAAGTGATGGAGCCTAATTTAAAATTCATATATTTAAAAAATAATAATAATAATAATAATAATAAAATTTCAATGGGACCAGAGACCCAATGAGCCCCCCTCCATCCGCCACTGATGGAACGAGTTCACAATCAAGCAATAAAAAAGGTTTCTTAACAAGCAAGTAATTAAATTGACATAAACTACCTCTTTTGTTTTTTAATAACACGTAATCCCCAGCTTTTATGCGATTATCGTTACTACTACAAAAAATAATAGCATATTTGATCCCCAACTTTTCAAAAACATACGGGACATATTTTTAATCCTTAAAAATGGAACCAAACATCGTCAGCGTTTTTTAAAAAAAATAGGCATGGTAGATCCTGATGATAGAATTCGTCCATTTCAACCGTTAAGATCGAATAAAAAGACAAAATTGTCATTCGCTTTAAATGAACACAAACAAAAAAACACGGTTACTAATATGCTAAAGTGGGTGTATTACACCAAAATTGAAGTTCAGTAACCTTCTGCAAGTATGGTGAAACTTCATTGACTTCCGTTGCAATTTTAGATGAGCAATATTGAGTATATTCATTCTAAAGAAAATTATCAACATTGCATATTCGTGAGTTAACTTTTGACGAATTGAAAAAAAAATAATATTATTCACTAACTAAAAATATAAAAAATAAAATAAATGGTGCCGATAAACGAGACAGGGGACCTACACCAAGTTGTCCCGCGGCCCCGCATTAATCGAGTATGGGAACGGGATAAGATAATAAAAATACTCGACGAAATGAGGGCGGGAATAGTTGGCCCGCCCCAAATTCGCCTCGTTTCATCCCTAACTACTAGCCGTAGTCCTTTGAAACCCTAAATAATTACTCACATCAATATAGAACGTCTTTTTAAGGTTTAACACAAGCCTTCTTCATTTATTTTTTCATGTAAATAAAGCAAAAGACCATATTGTTATATAATTAGTTGCCAAAAAAGCTATTAGGTATGAAAATTGACATGCATTAAGGGCATGTGAAAGGTAAATTAAAGCACTCTTTTAACTAAGCATGCTATACTTTTTTATAAAAGCACGACTTTTATACCTAACTTCTTCACAAAATTTAAAAGAAACATAAGATCAAGACTCCATGAAAAAGGTGTTAAATTCTACAAAAAAATTGTTAATTTGACTAATGTAACCATCAACGAGCATTCAGCCACAATTTCTAAATTTTTTTTAAGCTGTACGATAGACAGAACAGACTCACTAAAGTTTAGAGTTAATGCGATTATTGCAAATCTTCGTCAACACATGCCTAGCGGTGGCAACGAGCCGAGTCGAGCCGAGCCCG